TCTGAGAAAAGAAATCCATTACACTTGATTAGCAACTACTGAATTTATAGAGTCCAGTTATTTTTAAATGGGAATGGATTTCACTTACAGGATGTATTGGTCTCTGGCTTTTCATACATATTGCATGAACAGCTGTGCCTTCCTGACAGCCAGTCAGGTTTTGCCAATATTCTATTTTATGGTCAGATCTCTCAGAATTCCAAATGTGTCTTATAACACCAAAAGCTTGCCATCTCCTCCATTAAACAAACCTGTTGGAGAATACCAATATCAGTTCTCTGAGACAGAAGTATTCTATTTCTTCAGAAATTACCTGCTCCTCTGTACATGTATCTAATTTACGAAGTCCAAAAACAGGGGCAGAGAAATTCTGTTTACTGTTGTTACACACATTTTCACAATATAAGGTACATTTTCTCTGCACAAAAACGTGTATCAAAATTTAGACTATAAATGGCATAAAAGCTATTCCATCAATAGTTTTATAATGGTCTGAAATAAACTCTATTTTTTCTTTAACAATAAAAATCTATCACTACCTCTTCTAAATGATGTCTTCATTAATATTTATCTATAGTGGTAAAATGTTTGTGAACCTTTTCATTTTTAATATTTAAGATGTGATCTGTTCTCCATATAACCCCTAAAATGAGGAAGAGATAATCCAGCTAAACGAAAGAGTGAAAAACATTATACTTATTGATTTATTGAGGAAAGTAACCCAAAACTGCTTATTTCTGTGTGGCAAAAGTATGTGAACTCTAGGATCATCAGTTCATCTGAAGCAGAATTTAGAGTCAGGTGTTTCAATCAAGGTGATAATTGGTTGTATGTGGGAGGTCCTGCCTTGTATAAAGAACAGAATTCTGTTCTTTATACAATTCTGTTCTGGGGATCCACTACTCAAGGATGTGGAAGTGTTTCAAAGATTGAACAAAGGAGATATCTGAGCACCTCCAATTCAACACCATTACTACTGTTCCCAGGAGAAATTGACCAATCGAGATCATGCCAAGAGCAAGGCATGTTAATACTCTGGGAGATCTTACAGAACTGCATTATAATGCCTAAGGAACTAAAGGCCTCTCCTGCATTTGTGAATGTCAGCATTCATGAAACCACCATCAGAACACTGATCAACAATGATGTACATGGCAGGGTTGCAAGGAGAAAGTTACTATTCTCAAAAAGAACAATGCTGCACATTTCCAGATTGCAAAAGACCACATGGAAAAGTTAGAAGGATATTGAAAGAATGAGACCAAAATAGAAATTTTTTGGCTTGAATGAAAAGTGTTAAGTTTGGTGAAAAGAAAGCACTGCATTCCAACATAAGAACTTTATTTTATCTGTGAAACATGGTGGTGAAAGTACAGTTTGGATCTGCCTTGCTGCCTCTGGACCAAAACAGCTTTACATGATTGATTGAACTATGAATTCTGAATTGTACTAGCAAATTTTAGAAACAGAAAACGTTAGAAAATCTGTCCATGAATTGAAGCTCAAAAAGCACAGAAGTTGTATGACCAAAGACCGGTTAAAGCAGAATAAAGTTGATATTTTTGAATGGCCAAGTTAAAATCCTGACCTAAATGCTACAAAAATGTTACGGAAATGATATGAAAAATGTTATGAAGTGGGCAGTTCATTTGAGGAAGCCCACCATGGTCCCTGAATTGAAGATATTCTGTAAGGAGGAGTGGGGTAAATTCCTCCAAGCTGATTTGCAGGACTGAATAACGGTTATCAGGAATGCTTAATTGTACTTATTGCTGCCTGGTGGGAGGGAGGGGAGGGACTGAAAGCAAAGATTCACATACTTTTGCCACACACAAATATGTTGCTTTGGATTATTTTCCTCTATACATAAATGAACAAATATAATGTGTTTGACTCATTTATTTACTTGGGTTTGCTTTATCTAGTTTTGGAACATGTGGAGAACAGATAACATTCAGGTCATATTTATGCAGAAATATTGAAAGTTCAAGCGTTCAGAAACTTTTAAGCACCACAATAACTCTAGCTACCTAGTTTAGAGGTAAAACAAATGAACAGAGATCAAATGGGTTTTTTTCCAGTATATTAAAAGTATTTCAGCCCATTCAGAAATGAAATCATGCTGCAAGTCACATACATCATGGTGAACTTGTAGAAAGATGACTTGCTTCAATCCCTTGATGATATGGAATAAGACACAACGGTGAAAATTACATAAATACAAGAAGAATGAGAAAATTTGTGTGTGATAGATCAGGGGTCCTCAACTCCCAGGCCACAGCCGACTACCGGGCGGTGACCTATTTGGAACCGGGCCACGCTAGAGGCCAGTGTGTGCACACGCAGCTCCATTTGCTGAGCAGTGCCCCAAAGGCTTTTTTGTTGCATGAGTGAAGCTGCACGCATACGTCAGTCCCCGCTCACGCAGCCCAGTTTCCCTCTCCCCCACTCCCAGCCGAGCTGCCAAGACGCCTGTTCCCGATGCTCTAAAAGCATCCCCTGCTCAGCTTCGCTGACTCACCAAGGCTGCTGCGCAGGACATCGGATCCATTTTTGGAGCATCAGGCAACCTTGGTGAGTCTGAAGGCTTCTCTTCTCAACACCAAAAGCTTTTGTAAATGGATGAAAGGCTTTGAGGGAGTGATCTCGTCCTGCTTCAGGCCTTCTGTCCCTTTGCAAAAGCTTTTGGTGTGCCTGAAAGAGGGTGAAACCGCACCCCAAAAGCTTCTCGGGCTTCTCTTCTCTCTTGCATGAATGGAGCCATGGCGCAATTCCCCTTTTCCACCCAGCCAGGCCGCCAAGCCGCAACGGTTGGGGAGCACTGTGATAGATAATGGGATACAGGAATACATCATACTATGTATTTGACAGGGTGATATATACAATTATGACATGAGGCTGCCATATCTGTTGATGAAACTTTACTAAAGTCCCATGGGAAAAATCAAGGAATCTGCAATATGAGTTTTTAAAACTATTTAAATTAATCTATCCTATGATGAAAGTCAAGGGGATCATCTTGATGCCATCAAGTTGTCCCTGGGAATTGGATTCCCAAATGATTTAAGCACTCCTCCTAATTGTAACTTGAGTCTACTAGTGCAGATAGGTCAAGGGATGCCATCACACTACTGAAACTGAAAGTTTTTGAAGGATTTTTCTCTATAATGACTAAACGAAGTTATATATTCCTGAACTGTTAACGGATAATCTGTTATGGTGTGATTACTAAGCCACTCAAAAAATGATTGAACAAGAACCTTCAGAAAAAAGCAAATGCACTCTTCTTTAAGATTAGTTTCATTAACTGTGAATCCAATCACATAAAAAAGCTGCTGTCTTCTTGGTTAGGGGACTAATACATAACTATTTCCTTTTTAAAAGGAAAAAAAGAGGACGGGAAAAACTGGAAAAAGGCAAACTTAATTTAATTTTTATTTTTTTAATTTTAATTAAAAATTTAGAATCCTTCAATTTCTTCATAAATGAAGGGGAAAACTTTAACAATGTAAATATCAAGAGCACAAAACACAACATAAAAGTATAAGGGTTTGCACATTTAACTCTTACAAGTCTACGCTTAAAATCTATATATTCAGCCACGTTTAGGATGCTAAATTTAGGCTGCAAACTGACTTCATCTTAAATTATATCACAGATACAACATGGTTCTCTCAATTTCTGGAGTAGTAAAATGTGTTTCTGTCTGCCTGGTGCTTCCAATTGAAAGTACTTTTTTAAATAAAGGACTTGGCAACATTTGAGAACAACAGGAGAGAAAGTATTGACATTTTTAAAAAGTAAAATGTAGGAAGTATCTGTTTTTCCACAATTTTGAGAAAATAACAATTACCTTATCAAGTTTGCTGGTCAGTTTGCTACACAATCCTAACACTATGTAATACACACACACAAATTAAATTAAAAGCAGTTCGACTTTTTGAAATGTCAATATTGGCTCATAAGTTCTGAAAAATTTCACTCATTTAGAAATAAAGAAAATGCTTCATATGTTCCTTTGGTGAATACAGATGGTATGAGATCTTGCCAATGAACTATTTTTATCAAACAGTTACAGTTCTTGTTATTACCAACATTACCTGTAAAGTAAACTAAGGTTGCCACCTTGTGGTCCGGTAAATTACTACTACTATATTTACTTGCCTGGGAAGGTGACTTTTACCACCACCACTACCCCACCTTTTAAATGAGAATATTGTACTAAATTTATTGAGAATGCAGAACAGAAACAAAACGTTTCTTTTCAACATTTCCTTGAAATTGGACTGGCATTGCTTAAATTCAGTCCAGCTGCCTTTGAGATAAAAACTGACTAACACTGACCAAAGTAAATTACCCATAAGGATAGCCCGTTTATTATAGATGATCCTAGAGACAACAAGATAAATTTAAGGAACGTTTTCAGCAGCACTAAAAAGTAACACACTCTGAAATGTATATACTTAAAATGTCAACCAAACTAATATGGCATTTCCAGCATCATCCCTGTGAATAACTCTAGAATAACTTAGAAAATTCTTTTGACTATGTTTTAGCTGGTAAGCATACTGTTTTTGATAAAAGAATTTTCCAAAACACATTGGACTTCAATATATTATGTTGTACTTCTATAAAATAGATGATTTCCTACTGGCATTTGTAATATTTTCTCCATTTTATGTAGACTAAATGTAATAAATAAATTAAATAAATTTATATAAATATGGATATGAATCTATATTCAATTTATTATTACTATTGTAACAACAGATCAGAAATTATGAATGGATTATTCCATCTCTTAATTATTTCAAAACTAGTGTAGTGACTTATGCTAATTATAAAGAATGAAAATAAGCTTTAAAAAGCAAATATTAAGATAATATAAACAACATCTAACTTCACAAAGTCCTCTGAATAAAACTGCCTGCAAATAAATGAAGAGTTTTGTCAGATTATAAATTCTCAGGATTTATAGCACTCAAACAGGCATTGATTACCTTGAGACTATGCTAGATCCGTTGTAGAGATCACTTGCATAAGATAGTGTTGCCAAAGGTCGAACAGAATTGTAGCGAGTAAACTTAGACAGGCACTCTTGAAATTCATCCAGCTGGTTTGAGGTTCTACTATCATCTAAATGGGAAAAGCAGGGAGGAAAGAATGCAGTTTAAAAGTTTACAAGAAGGGAAAAATGGTAAACATAGTTTCAGTAACTGCCACTATATGTTTACAGTTCAATTAAATACTATTTTTTTTTCTAATCTGCGGGACTAACATAGAAATGGTTATATATGTAGTCCATTAAGATCTGAAAATACGTTCTGCAGTACACAGCAAATACAGAATTTAAGCAGAATACCTGAAAGTCATATATAATCTTTCATCATCCTTTCCCAGCCTGACGCCTATCAGATGATATAGTAGGTACACACAGATGTCATCCCCCACAAGCATGATTTGGGCATAACCAAGTACTTCTGTGGAAAATACATACAATGTAAAGGTAGTCTTCTATTAGTCTGCCTAATTCTAAATCTCTTAGTAAAACTAGCAAATATAGTTTGAGAGGGAAAATAACTTTTCAACTATTTAAGACATGAGAAAAGCATCCCGTCAAACTTGCTGCAATGTAACTCCATACCCATTTATATAATATGAATACAAATCCCAATGAATGTTATAAATTATACTATAATTGATATTTTAAACCACTTTCTTATTACAAAGCTGGGATGTAATCAGTGTAAAACTCTGTTATTTTGTATACGATAGATCTAGGGAGAGATAAGGATATGTCATGAAAAATGTCTGCCAGATGTTGAGGAAAACAGGTTGTCTGTCCAGTGGTTTGAGGAGGAACGTCTTATGAGGTGAACTACAGAAGAATTGAATTACACTGTAGTGGAAATCTAACCATATGGAAGGGGACTGAGATGTGACATTGGTCTCCAGGATAATACATATATAGGTAGTCCTCGACTTACAACAGTACATTTGGTGACCGTTCAAAGTTACAACGGCAATGAAAAAAGTGACTTATGACCATTTTTCAGTTATGATCTTTGCAGCTTCTGACAAGCAAAGTCAATGGGGAAGCCCTATTCATTTAACAACCAGGTTACTAATGCATCAAATGCAGTGATTCACTTAACAGATGTGGCAAGAAAGGTCATAAAATGGGGTAAAACTCACTTAACATGTTTCACTTAACAACAGAAATTTTGGGCTCAATTATGATTGTAAGTCGAGTACTACCTGTAACACCTATGAACAAGCACTCCAACATCCAAGAAAAAATATAACCCTGAGATTTATACAGAAAAAAATAGAAGGCGAACAGCAAGAAAAAAAGAAACATAGTTCAGGATCCAATCTGGGTCTATCACCAGGACCAGAGGTTTAGTCTTCTGAGTTTTCGGACTTGTGCTGAACCCATCCTCAAGGAACTTCTCTCGTACCAGGATGTGTCGCTTAGAGATAAGAAACATCATTTTGAAGTAAACAATATTAGGAATATAGGAAAGGGATGAATCATACAATAATATTATGGCTGCAGATGTCTATTATCCTGTCCTGTCCTGTCCTGTCCTGTCCTGTCCTGTCCTAGCCTGTCCTGTCCTGTCCTGTCCCAACTATAGCAAATTACTATGCCGAACAGAAGGATGATATTGGGAGGCACGATAAACCACTTTATTCAGAAGGTAATAGGCATTTACCTGATAGACGAGTCATCCTGGTAGAAAAGTAGCATTGTTCCAAATCTTCAAAATGAGCTGTAAGTCTCTTCCTCCTTGAAGCTAAAGTACTATTATACCATGGCTGTTTCTTAGTCTGAATGAAGGAAAAATAAAAATTATGTTCATAAATCAAACTTAGTCCAACTATTTTGAATATACTCATCATTTTATAAATTGTACTTAAGATATTTCAAATAGATATTTATCTCATTTTTTAAAGTTATGTAATATACAGGTGAAGGGAGAAGTTCAACTAATTTACAGTTATATATCTAAGTTTCAAAAAACAATAACAAAATCAAATGTCCATTATTCTCACACCAATATGGTTTGGACACTACAAACTAAAAAAAATGCTGAACCTAGATCTTCTGGCAGGTTAAGAAAGAGGCAGATTATGAAAATAAACATTAGGACCACCAATGTATCTTGTTCCAAAGATTTACAGTCTTTTGTCAGGAGAAATACTCCCATACAACTCAGTACATAAAATATAAAATGGGTGACCAAATGTGATAACCAAGAGGGTTCTCCACTCAACTGGACCTGGGGAAACAACTTTTCTAAAGGCAAGCAGAATTGAATATATTGTGGGGACGTATTCCAAAGAACTGGAGCAACCAGCAAGAAGGCATGCATTCAGACATAAGATGCCTATCTTTAAAAGAGAGCTCCTCCTACCACTGTGTGGGGCAGGTGGATGTTCTTGGCAGTCGCACAAGTCACCCGCTTCTATGCCATGTAGAGCTTTAAAGAAAGTAACCGGGCCCTTTATTAATGGTCCATTCATAACACCAGGGAGCCAATTGGGAGTTAATGCACAACTCTGCAGAGTTGTAGTGCCGCATGGGCCTAACAAATAGCACCTATAAACTACCTAAACCACTGCATTTTGCCCAGAGGAAGCCTCTGGATGGTTTTCAAGGACAGCCAATACCATATTGCAAAAGGCCAATTGGGAGATGAATAAGTCGCAACTGATGAGCAAATCTCCTGATCCAGTAATGGGGACGTCCCTGGCCAGAGCTGCCATTGCCCTTCAAGCAGTGATTCCAGAAGGACCCTTAGATAAGTCTGAACAAGGCTATGCCAGAACCCTATTCAAAACCAAAGATAGAAAAACACCGGATTCCTTGGTGAAATGGACAGACATATAAATCAAATTTAATGAGTAAATGAATATGTTTCTTTATATGTAAACCAAAGACAATCTGAGAGGCTGGCAGCCCTTTCCAGAAAAAAGTATCATGTTGATTCTATTGTTGATGGGAGATTATCTGAAAAGTTTTGCAAATAGCAATAGAATTTATATACTGCTTCACAGTGCTTTACAGCCCCCTCTAAGCAGTTTGCAGAGTCAGCATATTGCCCCCAACAATCTGGGTCCTCATTTTACTGACCTCAGAAGGATGGAAGGCTGAGTCAACCTTGAGCCGGTCATGATTAAACTATTGCAGGATTAAGCCTGCAATAATGCATTCTAACCACTGCACTACCCCAGCTCTTTACCAAAGAAATTTCAGGTATTTGGAATAAATGGACCAAATTTAGGAAACAAGTGATGGGGGGGGCGGTTGTGGGGTGTCAGTCAATACTTTAAATACCAGGAAGCTGAATCGTGTACATATACTCGCTGTTTATGCACTCCTAACTATATTGCTCTTGACAAAACTGGTTTTTTTTACTCTCAAATTTATGTTATTGATACAAAATACTCAATAGTGTAATTTCACTGGCAAGTAAATACTAAATATGTACTGGTAGTTAAAATATTGATGTTTTACAAAATGTAATTCACTGTGGGAAAAATCAGTAGAATAGTCTTTACTTCACAGACTAATATCAAAACGCTCCTGGTTTTCCTAACAGTAAATTACGTTTTTATTTCAATGACATTTTTTTATAGTAAATTCAAACAAATTGAGGAATTCCTCCCATATAACAATAATTCATATTAGATTTTTTGCTCCATTTTCAACGCTGACTTAAAAAACATGGCATGTGGGTAGGAGTGACCTTATTACCTATTCAGTAAGATGATAAACAGATACCCTTAGGGCATGCAGAAACAACTTCCTCAAGAATGAAAATTACACTGACTGGTCAAGATACAAACAATGAAAAGACAGAAGCTAATACATATACACCAGGGATTATTTGCATCATACAGCAACAGAAAAAAAGTCTACAAATAATTAAGCATGTATACATTGGAAGAGTTTAGCTGCTTTGATTTAATCACTGAAAAATAGAACAAATCTTTCACTGAAAATATTCTGAACATTCCAGATTCAAAAAGATATCTACAATGTTTATCAGCATATTTATGTATATGAAGATTACTCTCATACCTGGGAACTGCCACTAAATCCAGGTTGGCTATATTCTGTAGAATCAATAATGCTACTGTAAAAATTAAAAAAAACAGAATATAACAGTTAATAATAAAAAAAATGAGTTTTAATTTATTTAATAATACAACTAAGAAAAAGAGTTTTATTGGAAGTTCTAAAGAGGAAAATTTCCTAGTGAGCAGCAGTGATGCGGTGGTTAGAGTGCAGTACTACAGGCTACTTCTGCTGACTGCCGGATGCCTGCAATTTGGCAGTTCAAATCCGACCAGGCTCAAGGTTGACTCAGCCTTCCATCCTTCCGAGGTCGGTAAAATGAGGACCCAAATTGTTGGGGGCAATATGTTGATTCTGTAAACCGCTTAAGAGAGGGCTAGAAAGCACTGTGAAGCAGTATTTAAGTCTAAGTACTATTGCTATTGCTAGTCTTTTTGGAGATGAGATTGGAATAATAGGTCATCCTCAATTTACAACCATAATTGAGTGCAAAATTTCTGTTGCTAAGTAAGGCAGTTGTTAGATGAGTTTTGCCCCATTGTACGACCTTTTTGCCACAGTTGTCAAGAAAATCACTGCAGTTGTTAAATGAATCATGTGGTCGTTAAGTGAATCTGGCTTCTCCCATTGACTTTGCTTATCAGAAGCTGGCTGGGAAGGTTACAAATGCTGTTCACATGACACCGGGACAATGCAACTGTTGTAAATACATGATAGTTGTCAAGTGTGCGTATTTTGATTATGTGACCATGGGGATGCTGCAATGGCTGTGGGTGTGAAACCCCATCATAAGTCGCTTTTTCCAGTGCTGTTGTAACTTCGAACAGTAACTAAATGAATGGTTGTAAATTGAGGAGTACATGTACAGCAATTCTATACTGAGGTATTAGGGTCACTGGATCATCTTCAGAGGCTCTGATAAGGAAACAGCATCAGAGACAGAGGCAGGGCCTTGTGTCCTCCCTCAGGTGGAGAGGCAGCTGTCTTTGGGGCCTGAGCTGAGTGAAGGGGAGGACGAGATGGGGCCCATCCCAGATACGTGTATGCGCAAAGAGGAAAAGAGAGAAGAGCAAAGGAAAGCAATAAGCCGGCTCTCAAGAAAAAGCAGATGTGGACGCTAGCCAGCTCCTCCCTGGCTGGGAAATAAATAGTAGGGGTTTGGGAGTGGCCGGTTGACACAGGCAACCCATTACACACCCAGTCTCATTCCTCACTCTCAGCCCGTCTATTCTTATTATTTTTTTTTTTTTAATTTGATTTATATGCCGCCCTTCTCCGGAGACTCAGGGCGGCTTACAGTGCGTTAAGCAATTTATTTATTTAATTTCCAATTGGATTCAAAGGGAGTCTCTCTCACCTCAATGTCTCACGTTGCTTTCCTGTCATCTTCTTTCATTACTGCTGCCACAGCTTCCTAGCAACTTCTAAGGTCGCTTTCTCAGCAGTCCTGTTTGAGGAGCTTCTTCTGGTTCAGCCAGGGAGTTTGCGAACCCCCTAGGCTGGCCAGTCTGTGCTCCCCTTGTTTATCATCCCTTCAGGATGACTTAGGCCACTTAGGACCCCAGAACTGCAGAGATATCGACAGGTCTTCAAGAGATCTTAAAGAACCCGACTTGCTGCTGCGACATTGGCCACGCCTCCCCGACTAATTACGTTTTTGTTTATCCACATGAATAAAAGACTGTTCCTACCCTATTTGAAAAGGAGTTTGTTTTAATCGCAAGTAAGCAGCTTATCATTACTTGCTAAGGCTGGGTCAGAACACTAACACAGTATTATTAAAAGCCCTAATTTATTAGTGGTCCATTCATAACAATAATTAAGTTTTCCTGATCATGTTGTATAGTCCTACTAATTAAAACTAGTAAAATTGTTGCAGGAGAGGTGGACATATCTGCCACTTTTTTTTTCTATTTTATTTTTATATTTATAGGATCTCTAGAGAAATAAAGATGATTCTAGAATTGATGCTTTGTTTTATCACAAACAAAATTCCTTTTTTGTTATTTAAAATTTGAAAAAAATGGAATAGGGAGAAAAGGGAGAAAATAGTTTTTGCTTCCTAAAAACAATTTTTTTAAAAAACCCATCTGCTCTGTACTGCTCCAATTTGCCTTCTTCTAAGTCCCCTGTGATATTACCCCCTGAATATTTATTTATCCAAATATTTGGTATTTTTATTTATTGCTGTCTTAAAACATCATCTCCTTAAAGCAAATATTCCCCCTCCCCCACCTCTGGGACTGTTAAGAGTTGTAGACATTTTTCTATCCAATGTACTACATAGCCCTAGACAGTTACTTTGCTAACTATACAGGCTAGCTTAATTTATGAGGATACCTTTTAACTGAGATGATCTCTAATTTGTGAAGAAAACAAATTAAAGACATTAAAGTACTCAATCAAGCAAAATTTCCTGCTTTGTAGCTTTTGCATACAGAATAGCCTATGGTGAAACATCCCAGATTTTGTAGATTTAAAACATCTACGGTGTTATAGATTTATTACCTCTGTATTAAGAAATTTCTATCAATGTTTGCTTCTACATAAACTATGCTTTAAGACAAGTTAATATGGAGTACAACAAGGAGGGAAAGAGTGGGAAAAAGATGTAAAGTGGTTTTCACTTTTTCACTATTTTTTATGGATTCTGTACAAACTTCAAAAATGGTTTGAAAGATTACTTTAGACTTGGACTGAGTACAAGCATACCACTTTTAACCATTAAAGCAGATAATTTGACAGGGAGCCTCATAAATCATTAAAAGAACATGTAAAGCAAGAGAGTCTTTTTCAGGTTTGCATGCCTGTTTTAATAAAAAGCAGAGAGGTGCAGGCATTCATTTTTTAAATCATTTGAAAAACGTATGTACATCTAATTCAACTGAAATTTGGTTACCTGTGTGAAGGAGACGGCGCTTCAAACTGGGGCACAGTGCTGTCTTCACTGACTGGTGAATACAAGCCACTCATTTCCTGGAATAAATATAGAGCCACACCACAAATAAACAATTTGATATTTATATCCTTTCGTTAATTTTTAATTTTTATCAAAGTATTTATTACTTCCCATCAAGTCATTTTTACCCCTAGTGACCACACAGATAGATTTTCTTCATGATAAACTGGCCTTTCAAGTCTTCTAATGGTGCACCATTCACCACTATAATTTAACCCCTCCACCTGGCTATTCTTTTTCCTTCCACCCTTACCAGCTTTAAAGCTTTTTCCAGATGTCTCTGCATGATGTCTCTAAAATCAAAGCATTATACTCATTTTTTATTGCAGCTATTTTTTCCCAAAGGTGCTTTTTCAAGAGGTAACTGGACTTCGTTTTTCTTTGAAGATGTTACGCTTCTCATCCAAGAAGCTTCTTCAGCTCTGATAGGATGGTGGGGAATGGAAGGATTTATATTCCTTGCAGGCAGCTGGTCATTTGCATTCTTTTAGAGAGCCACTGAGGCCACTTAAGAGGTTTATCTGTGTCCTCAGGGTCACCTGAGTAGCGCAAATGGGTGTGGAGCCTTCTTTGGTGCAGGATGTTTTCTGCCAGATGTTTCTTCACTGTTGAACAGAGGCGCAGGTTGTTGGGGATAAGTCTGTGTTGTCTGTGACCCTGAGAACACAGATAAACCTCCAAGTGGACAGTTGGATTTGTTTAATGAGTTGATTCGCTTAATGACCGTGATTCATTTAATAGCAGTAATCAAATACGACATGACTTATTTAGCCAGTGTATCACTTAACAACAGACGTTCAAGTCCAAAGTGTGGTCATAAGTTTAGAACTATTCCTCAACACATGACCACAATTGGGACTGGAATTTCAGTTGCTAAGCAATGCAGTTTTAAGCCGGACTTGATTTTACAACCATTTATACTGCAGTAGTTAAGTGAATCATATGGTTGCTAAGTGAATCACATGGTTATTAAGTTTCTCCAATTGCTTTGCTTGCCGTAAGCCATCTGGAAAAGTTGCAAATTATAATGATGTGATCGCAAGATGCTGCCAGTCATAAATATGAGCCAGATGTCAATTGCAATTACTTGACTGTGGAGCTAAAGCTTTATAATTGACAGCATTATTTGTGGACGTATAGGAACTCATAAAACGTTAATTCTCCACCTTTATACTTGCCATCAAGCATGATGCAATAAGTTTGATAAACATTAAAATAAAAACGTGCTTGTTGCAATGATTGTGGAGAGCTTTACCTCTACTCGTTTAATATCATCTTCCAAAACACTCAGCTCCTTCTGGATTTGCTCTAACTGCTGTAGATTAAAAGAAAGATTTTAAAAATGTAAGTTATACTGGCAGGACTATCATAAATTACTTGTGACAGAAAAAGAGGCTGTGGGCCCAATAAATGGTAAAAAACAAAATGCACTAATATATTTTTAGGTATGCATTTTACCAATAGACTGATAGCAATATTGAAATGATGAAATATTATCAAAAATTATGTTCCTCACCCTCAGTTACAAGCATCCTCAATGTTAATAAATAAAAAATGCTTAACAGCCATTAAAAAAAACCACAAGTAATATGGCAGTCCTTCGGATTTGAAGAAGACATATTGTTGTTGCGGTTCATCTGTAAAACTTTGATTTGATTTGTAAGACTTATCCCTTCTCCAACATTAAATCAATTTTGACAATTATGGGGAAATTCTGTATATCCTTCAGTTAATTAATCATTATTTCATTATACTCCTCTTTTGTAAAGAGGAGCTTGAAATGAACACCAATTCAGAATGAAGTACTCAGAAATATCACCAAAATCTACAGGAACATATTTACTTGCAATAGGCCTTTGAAATTAAAAAACCTTCACCAGAGACACAGTAACAATTGGTATAAAGCTACACAAAGTTCAGGCCAGCTACAATTTATTTCAAGAATTTGTTATAACTTCCAACAAATAACTTTAGCAAACTTTTCTCCTCAAAGGTATGAAAAGTAAAGGAAAACAATCGTGCAATTCAATTCAAAAGAAGTAAAGTCAAAACCTCTCATAATTGGCATGGTCTAAAATTCTTCAGGTTTATGTGCTTGAAATAAACTGTAACAGATTGCCACTATCCACACTTCTTAAAAAATGATAAGCCAATTTGTATTATTTAAGAGAGTAATGGAAATATGTTCTTAATAATAATAAAGCAAAGTAGGTCATGTTACCTCTCTCTTATTTCTCCTGGCAACCTTGAGGAATTCCATCAAAATCTGCAGCTGGGCAGCATGGGACTCCTGTAACAATAAATTGTGACAAACAGGGGAAGATGTGGAAAAAGGAAATTGATAAGCAAAGAGGCATTTAAGACACTGGCATTCTATGTGCAATATTTAAGTATGGATATATACATATCTGAATCACAAACTGCTAACTGTAGTGACATTGAGAAAACAAACGGTTTATTCACAACTTAAGAGTCCACTTCAAATCAGTTTCAGACCCTGTATTATGAAAAAATCATGTTTGTGGAGAATCTGCTCTAAGGAATTCAAAACACTAGTGAAGAAGCTCACATTCCCCTAACTGATTCTTACCAATAGTAGAGGCAATAAGGAAAAACACCAAGCAAAACAGGAAATAATATTCTGTACTAGCCAAAAACTGTGTACACTATGTGCACAATGAGTAACTTGATCATATCATCCTTTTTATGCATATTTTCCACCTCCAAGCTCTATACACATGAAAACTTAGTAGATAAAAGCATACCGGGTGATGTGAATTTGTATAATGAGGGAGTGTGTGGCCTAAGGAGATCAACACAGGTATGGCGACTACCGGAACAGGGCTCAATACCCTATATCCATGATGGCGAACCTATAGCACGCGTGCCACAGCTGGCACGCGGAGCCATATCGGTGGGCACGTGAGTGTTGTCCAAGCTCAGCTCCAGTGAGAGCGGAAGTCGGGAAACGGAGGGCCTCTTTGGGGGTGGGGGGAAGACATTTTCGTCCTCCCCAGGCTCCTAGAAAGGCTCTGGACCTGGCGAGAGTGAAAAACATGTCTTCTGGGCCCACCAGAAGTCAGCAAATGGGCTGTTTCCGGCCTCCGGAGGGCCTCTTTGGGGGTGGGGGGAAGCCATTTTCACCCTCCCCAGGCTCCTAGAAAGGCTCTGGACCTGGGGAGAGTGAAAAACAGGCCTTCTGGGCCCACCAGAAGTCAGCAAATGGGCTGTTTCCGGCCTCCGGAGGGCCTCCAGGGGGTGGGGAAGCCATTTTCGCTCTCCCCAGGCTCCTAGAAAGGCTCTGGACCTGGGGAGAGTGAAAAATGGGCCTTCTGGGCCCACCAGAAGTCAGCAAATGGGCCATTTCCAGCCTCCGGAGGACATCCAGGGGGGTGGGGAAGGCCGTTTTTGCCCTCCCCAGGCCCCTAGAAAGACTCTGGAGCCTGAGGAGGGCGAAAAATGGGCCTACCGGGTCCACCATGCTATCGTGTGCCAAAAGTGGGGGGAGTACGGGGGGTGTCACACATGCATGCATTGGGGGGGTCGGTCGCATTGAATTATGGGTGTGGGCACGTGCATGAATGACCCCCCCCCGCTCCCCTCCACTTTTGGCATGTGACGGCAAAAAGGTTAGCCATCACTGCCCTATATCAAGGTGTGCATAATTATTAGGCAGCTTCTTTTCCTCAGGCAAAATGGGCGAAAAAGAGATTAAATGACTCTGAAAAGCCAAAAATTGTAAAAAAGTCTTTCAGAGGGATGCAGCACACTTGAAATTGCTAAAATATTGGGGTATGATTACAGAACCATCCAACATTTTGTTGCAAATAGTCAACAGGATCGCAAGAAACATGTTGAGAAAAAAAGACGCCCATTAACTGTCAAAGATTTGAGAAGAATCAAACATGAAGCTACCAGGAACCCATTATCCTCCAGTGCTGTCATGTTCCAGAACTGCAATCTACTTGGAGTGCCCAAAAGTACAAGATGTTCAGTGCTCAGAAACATGGCCAAGGTAAGGATGGCTGAAACCCAAGCACTTGTGAACCAAACACATAAATTGAAACTGTAAGACTGGGCCACAAAATATCTGAAGGCAGATGTGAAGTTTCCGAAAGATGCCCTAATTAATTCATGAGCCATGAGCCAAACTTCAAAAGAAATATAGTCATTTATTAGGAGCATCATTTCGGCAATATTCGGATGCAGTTAGAACTAAACCTACATAGATTTACGTTCCCCTATGACCCTGTCTTTCCCCTCCTCCCTGGCCATGTCATAAATCACATTCTCCAATTAACCACTTTGGCTGGCTGTGAAATCCAACACCTTTCTTCTGATTGTGGAAAGAAAGCATGTATGGAATGTAGCTTCAGTTAGGGAAATCAATCAGCTCTATCAGTTCTCCCTCCCTCCTGCTCATGGCAACCTGAAAGCTTGAAAGCCTCCTGCTCATGGCAACTTTGAAAAACATTTTTCAAAGGTTTTATGGACTGATGAGATGAGAGTGACTCTTGATGGACCAAATGGATGGGCCCATGGCTGGATCAGTAACTGGCACAGAGCTCCACTTTGACTCAGACACCAGCAAGGTGGAAGTGGGGTTTTGGTAAAGGTTGATGTTATTGAAGATGAACTAGTTGGACCTTTTTGAGTTAAAGATGACTCAAAATCAACTCCCAAACCTACTGCCAGTTTTTAGAAGACATTTTCTTCAAGCACTGGTACAGGAAAGCGTCTGCATCTTTCAAGACGACCATGATTTTTATGCAGGACAATGCTCCATCGCATGCATCGAAGTACTCCACTGTGTGGCTAGCCAGCAAAGGCCTTAAAGATGAAAGAATAATGACTTGGCCCCCTTCCACACCTGACCTAAACCCTATTGAGAACTTGTGGACCCTACTTAAATGGGAGATTTAGGGTGAAGGAAAACAGTACACCTCTCTGAATAGTGTCTGGAAGCTATGGTTGCTGCTGCTCAAAAAGTTTTTTCCCCAAGTTTTTAAATTTTATTTTACATATACACATCAATGCGTGGACAGTGTGGCACCTGGGTATCATACGTTTTGGTGCAAATAAGAATAACATTAATCATATTTGTTACGTCCTCAAACTTATATAATTCTGTTAATACACATATTTGTATTAAATTATAGTCCATCATTATTTAATTATTCAATGTTTCAATATATTATTCTAATGCCAATCACAATATTGTTAACACTTACATGAGAATTCCATTATTCAATTCCTAATCTTCCCTCTAATTATTGCTTTTATCTGATTATATAAAAATGTGTATATTAATAATCCCCCCTTATTTCTATCTCCATTCTAATTTTTAATCATGCCACCATTATATTTAAAAAAAGACATTTCCTTTTTACCCTTTATCTCTTATCCAGCTTAATAGCTTATTTCTTTTTCACTTTCATTTTAATAAAAAATAATATCATATTCATTACATTCATCAAACTAATGTAGTTCTAATATTAATACACATATTTATATTAAGTTTTGCTTTTCCATTATTTAATTATTCAGTTTCAGTATATTATTCCAATGCCAATATTTAAACATACATATAACACCATTTAATCTCTAATTTTCCTGCTTTGTTATTGCTTATATTTTATTATATAAAAGTGTATATGTTTCCCCATTTTCTTATTTCTCTCTATTCTAGCTTTTAGTCATGCCACCCTTATATTAAAAGACATTTCCTTTCTAAACATCATCTCTTGCCCACATTAATATTTTAATTCTTATTCATTTTCTGACTTGCATCCCATATTCCTCTTAAATCTTTGTTTCTGCCTATATTCACATCATGACTATTCAAGCTGAATATTCCTCCCATCTCTACCCTCTTCCAGTGTCTAGTTTTCAGAGTAACTACCCATACCCGTCTCCTTTTCAAAAATATCTTCCTGCACCTCCAAGTCTCTTTTTAAAACTCTTAAAGTATTTTCCCTTGTTTTGTTTCATCAGTCGTTGTTTTTATTGTTTTCTCCTTATCTTCTTTTATTTGTAGGTTCATCTGTTTTGTTTTTTCCTCCGTTCTCTGTTGGCTCCTACCTTTCCTGGGTGACTTGATCTTTACTCATTGTCCCTTGTATTATATTGTCCAGCTTTCCCTCTATGCGATACACTATTTCCTTAATCTCCTTGTGGTTTCTTATTCTAATGTCCTTTATGCTTTGATACATTAACACTTCCAAAGATCCATCCATTTTCCCCTGGAGAGTCTCATCTTATTAATCCTGCTCTTACCAGTAGTCCAGGAACTGTGTATTCAAACCTAAAATTAATCCTTCAATCCCCTTTAAATAGTCCAGGGGGTTGTTCAAAGTCTCTTTAAATCCTCTTTATAAATTCAATCATGTATCATAACATTCAGGGGTCATTTAATTAGACATTCCTTGTTCTCACATTTAAATCTCCAATAAAGTAGATGTTTATAACTCAATAAATATCTTCACAATCCTCCAGATAAGTATTGTTTATTCCTATCCAAAGTCTTGCCAGGCTTGTAAATATATGTTGTATTTCCTTTCATCAGCAAGTGGCGCTCTCAGCTTAAATTTCAATGTTACTGCGAGACGAACCAGTTCCAATCCAATTTGATTTTAATTCAATTTATAAAAGCAGTTAACTTTTGAAGTAAATAGTTCCAGCATTTTAAAATGCCTTCCCAAAACAACGCCTTCCCAATTTCAGAATCCAATTTCCTGTATTTTTAAAAAGTTTTTTTGTTTTCTTCCCTTGATCTTTTCTTTCCAATCTAGTAATTTTCTCAAAATGCTCACTCGCTGCTTAACAAATAGCTCTGAGTAAATAGTTCTGGATTTTTCCTTTTGGGGTTAGATTTTGAGTAAAAAGGAATCCTCTCACCCAGTTCCAGACACTGTTCACTAATTCCACTCCAGCACCAGTCTTAGCTGTTTCTCGGTTGTCCCGGCTTCATGGCAGCCATCTTTGGGCTGCCTCTTCTCCTCATCGTGGCTGAGAGGGAAAAGAAAACCCCGGGCCAGGCAGGAGAGATGCGGCTCTCCACGACCTCACAGGGCACCCCTCTTTGCTTCGCCACCCCTACAGGGCAGCTTTGGCTCCTTTCGGAGCCCACCAACGGGAAGAATTCAGCCCAGGAGAGCGAAGACCAACTCTCCGTGACTGATCCCGCCGCAACATCAACCGGAAGTCACTGCACAAAAAGTTGATCGTCAACAAATGAAGAAACTGATGGACTCCATGAATGAAAAGCTTATGACTGTTATTGAAAAGAAGGGTGACTATATTGGTCACTGGATTTTTTTAAAAAAAATGTCAGAAATGTTTATTTGTAGATTTTGAGTTGTTTGTTCTTTTAACAGATGCAAATAAATGAATGAGATGGGCAAATTTTTATTTTTTCATTTAGTTGCATAATAATTCTGCACACTAATAGTTACCCAATAATTGTGCACACATTGATATTCTCCTAAGAAAGCCAAAACCTCACTTTTACTTTCCTAAATATTCAAATTTGAGGTTTATTAACATTTTGGATTGACCGAGACCACTGTAGTTGTTCAATAATAAAATTAATCCTCCAAAATACAACTTGTCTAATAAATGTGCACCCAATGTATTTTGAGAAAATACCATTCATTACAAAATGTTGCAATGAAACTTATGGCATAATATTTTTTTTCTCCTATGGAACAAAAAGGGAAACACAAGCCATATACAGACAAGTACAAATCATTTGGATATTGTCAAGGAATCCATTCCAGGAGTTGCTAAAGTACAACACGCCATAACGCAGACAGCATAGGAAAGCTAGGAATGCACTCAGCAATTTTTGGAGATCTATAGATAAAGGAGCCCTTCTGCTCAAGATGTTGATAATACAATATATGCTTGAAATTACTTGTTCAAATATTTTTATCATCATCTGAAACCTAGCGAAATAATGATTTGCTACACGTCTAAAATATCTTATGAAAGCCAACAGATTATGCCTTCATTTAAAACTGAATAATGAAGTGGATGTTAACTTTTCTCAGCCATGTAATAATCTTGCATGATGAACTAGAGAACACCCTGCCACTTTAAAAGATCTCACATAAAGCCATCAAAATCTCATAATGTGGTTTTTTTTTTTTAAGTAAAGCATTTTATTCTGATGATGGTAGGACTATCCACTGGGTAGTCAAAGACCATTTTAGGGCCTTTAGGCACTATGTTACTGATCTGTACATTGGTACATCAACCAAACTCTGGCAAAAAGGGTAATAAGTTTCATTAAAATAAATATATTGTTTTATAATATATATCTACTAAGAGATTAGAAAAAAGCTTACTGCCTCCAGTTGTTTCTTCTTCTGCACCAGAAGTTCCAACATTAAGTTAACATTGGCCAAATCAAGATTGTCTTGGTCTGTTCCCAGCAAATCTTGAAATATTTGCCACCTGTGCCCATTCTAAAGAGAAAAAAAGGCAAACAAATAATCAAGACATGTTTCAGAGCCTTAAGTCAATATAGCTTAGATATTTCATAATAACATAAAGCAATCACAGTAATCCAATGGAAGCATACCATTCTGAGAAAAATTGTAAGGAAAGGATAAACTTACTTCAGGCTACTTTTTTCTTTTTCATTATTTGCAAAAGCAATGTCCAGTCTCGAGGTGAGTCAGGACATGCATTACTGCAGTTGTGTGGAATCCCACACTTTGCTGTAGAAATGAGCCCTGAATAATATACTGTGTTTTCCCGAAAATAAGACCCTGTCTTATATTTTTTTGAATCCTGAAATAAGCGCTTGGCCTTATTGCCATGCGCTCAAAAGCCCGATTGGGTTTATTATCAGGGGATGTCTTATTTTGGGGAAAACAGGATAATCGCAAACTTATCCCACCTCCTTCCTTCACTCCCATGTCCTCAAAATATTTTTTGGAACACTTAATTTTTATTAGAGCTTCAATTATCCAATTCAGATCCAGAGAGGATTCCAAAGTCATGCACATCTGACAGATTCTCTCATGTCTCCAGTTTCACTTGCCATCCCATACAAAATACTATGCTTAAACTCCCAGGTGCAAATAGATTGATGAATGAGCATGAACATGCTGAAGAAGAGGGGAAAGCCCAGCAGCATGTTCAGAATATTCCATAGGTTATTTTGGTAACTTACTTGGGTAATTAGATATGTAGTGGAAATTGTGATATTTCAAATGAAATGTTAATATATCTATCTATCTGTTTCAACATGTAGGAAACAAAACAATGTGGCCGCTTGTTCCAAAGAAAAGTTTAACAAAAACTGTATATATGTTTACTTTAATATGAAAGTGAAACCTTTTAGCCAAACTATTTCAATTTCTTGTGTAAATACAATGTTAACAGTCCAAATACAGTAATGTTAGCATTAGTCCATAGCTATACAATTATATTTAGCATCTGTTTATGATTATCACCTGAATTTCAACAAAAATTGTTCACATATTTACATTTGTTCAATAATAGTTCAATAATATACTCGATGTGCTATGATCTCATGATAGATTTATTCAGTATGGCCCCAAATTGCTGGCTTTTTGTAAGTCCTCTGTCCCAAGGCCTGGGGGTCCAAGTGTGTGCAGACCCATTTTATGGTTAAATTAGTTATTATAATGTGATTTATTCTTGGTTCCTACATATTTTTTTAATATTATTAATCACTAATACTTATTAGTCGCTTGGTGAGATAGATGGCCAAATTAAGTAAATATACAAATAAATGTTTCTTGGAAGAACCTTAGAATCTATCAGAATGGCATAAGCATACCACAATCACCTAAATTCTCAAAAGAAAGATTTTTTTTTTATTTTTTAAAAAATTATTTTTATCCACCCCGATCTACATATTCACAAATATATCAAAATCATTATTATGTTAAAGAGTAAAGTTAGATTGTATAATGAAAATCCCAAATAACACTTTGCTTACACAGATTGAGCTGTCTGCTAAAAAAACAGACATTCTCAAATGCTTAGAACATAGGAATACATGCACTCCATCCCTTAACCCCCAAAATAAGCAAATGAAAGAAAGAAGATTGGGACATACGGTGCTACTCACTGAATGGTCCAATTTGAATCTCTTTTCCTCAAATCTTTGCTTCTGTTTAAGGATGAGCTCATTCACTACAGGGCAAAAAAGATCTAAGTAGTACATTTTAAGATAAGAGATGAAAGACAAACTGTCTTAGAAATAAATGCATACTAAGAAGATCAAAGGAGTAAACTTCAACACTGCACTTTTATTAATTCAGTAAGAGCAACAAATATTATTACTCACTTGCCAATTAGAATAAAAAGATTTCCATTTTTTTCTGGAAAATGTATACTGTACATACAATATTTTTAATTTATACAGCAGTATTGATGAACATAGTCACTCATTTTATTTTAGTAAACTATAAAGTACATCAAAATAAGATGCATCTTCACCATTCTGTAACTGGTTCATCAAATGTGACCATTAAATGCATTCAGATTTGTGGGTGTCCAGCTTCCTCTAACATAATAATGACCTAAACATCATAGTTGTAGCGCACTTAAATAAAAATATTTGGTGAAAATAAATCATGCCATTATTATCACACCTTTGGATTACTGCAAGCATTCTACATGGGCTTCACTTAATCACAATCCAAAGCTACCATTGGTAAAGAATGTGACATCCATTATGCAAATATAACTCTTGTTCTTTATTCACTACACTGGTTGTCAGTAGGTTTTCAAAGTGCTGCTTTTAACTAAGTGGTTTGATTCCAGGGAGTCATCCCCCCACCCCAGGCAGAATCTGCTCAATACTGACAGGGAGAGGATACTGAGAATCTCATCCCTACAAATATTCAAAGGGACATGGGCCTAAGACGGCCTTCTTCCTTGATGGCCTCCATCATATTTGGTACTCCTATTATTAGCTTTCAAGAAGGCCACTGAAGCAATCTTGTTTTAATAAGCACTTGAAGGCTGTTTAATAATTTGGTAGCATGCATATTCTAGAATTTGGATTTTGTTTTAGTAACTGTGATTTCATGCTTTTTGATATTACTTTTTGCAAACTAACAGGAGTCATTTTTAGCTGGGTAATATAAAATACAATCAATAGCTAAAATTTAACAGGATTTATCCCTAATGATCTAGACATTTAGAAATGTGTTGTTGTAAATACAGCACTTAAGTACAAATATGAGTAAATAAAGGAGATTGAAGCTCATCTAATATGTAAGAATATTAAAAGCTATATTTTATTGTACACAACAGTCTACTTACAACAGATGTTAACTCGTTTATATTTTAACAACTTCAGTTGTTCAATGTGACTTATACGTTATGTTACTAATTAATTTTATGAAACTAAGCATTTGAAAATGAATCACATTTCATGGAATATGTCCCAATCCACATTACCTAGATTAAAATATACATCATAAGCACAATTTTCCCCCATCATATACAGAAGGTCCTTAAAATTGCTCTTTTAATAAGTCTATAACTTTATTGTTAAATGTACAAAATGGACTTATTCGCACGAGATACAACCAAATTACATAATTGCACTTTTTCGTACCCTCCATATTAATTTCATGTACGTCTCTCTCCGATTCACACAAAATCAAAAGGAAGAATGGATTCTTAATTCAGTTTTATTTTTTCCTACTTCCAATTTATCATTACATAAAACATAAATAATTGTTTAAAATAAATTATTGATCAGCAAACTGAGGGCTTGCAAAATTACTCGCAAACAGCCCAATATTAGAAAAGACTATTATCAAACCACTATATAAATGCCACTATTACTAAGAAAAGAAAAAGGGTTATAAATCCATCTTGGCAGGAAAATTGAGTCAGAGGCACTATGACTTAATAAGATTTTATGGCGAGTATACAATTTGTTTAGCATAAGGCCTATTTTGAGCTTCACCTTCACCTTCCTCTCTTCACATCTCACAATCAAATATGAATCAACTAAGAATTATTACATTATTTGGTTACTAATAGTTTTCAATTTGTTGCTTTCACAATCATGGTCTACCATAGATTCTCTCTCAACTTCATCTCTTATTGTTTTGCAAAGCTAGAATGATTTTTCTATCACTGAATACCTGATATTCAGATATTACGTGTCCAGGAATGTAGTCTATGTTGTACAAAATCAACAGAAGCATGTGAAACATAATATAGAAATAAACACCCAGCAATAAAAGTTCAGTTATTGAGAAAGTTACCAAGACATGATTGAAGCCTGTATTACTGAACATTAAAACTTACCTAAAAAGTTGGGATATAGATGATCAATGTTATCCACAACATAATTACATTTGGGACACCTGTTGTTATCTTCCAGGCTTTGATGAATACATTTGTAACTGTTCAAGAAAAGTAACAGAACAGTGAAAAATACTGCAGAAATTTATTAAGATATGCTTTTGAATAAGATACATTGCATTATGTTTGTTAGTTGAGGAATTGGAGCTGTGGTATCAGGTGATTGGGTACTAAAGATAGATCAAATCAATGAAGCATCTTCAAGTTCTGGGCAATTTTTTTTTTTTTTGTAACTAATGTTATCTTGTTGCAAAAAGCAACAAAGTATTGGATGTTAATAGACAGTTTTAAAATACAATTGCTTGCAACACAGATTTATCATCTTCAAAGATATTTCATAACATACAAAAGTGGAGAAAGAATTGTATGCATCCAAAGTTTCGATGAGACACATCACTCCAAAAAAATAAGCTTTTAAGAGTAAGAATTTTGAAAACCATTGATGGCTTTGAAGAATTCAGTCACTTATAAGAATCTGATGCATGTGTCCTGTCTTGCTTCATCCACCAAATTTTTTTCATATATTTTAATAGTTATTTGTTTAAAGCTATGTCAGTGCTACCATTCAGAAATAGAAAATGTTTTATGTTATCCCAGGTTATCTCCAATGAAGATATTGAGTTAGAAAGATGCATAATAACTTTAGTTCAAACATTTTCATTTTATAACTAAATCTCTCTTACTAAACAGTTTTAACAAGCAACCTTACCAGAAACTGTGTCCACATTTTGTCATGTAAGCTTCTTCAATCATATCAAAGCAGATGGGACTTGAAAGGGAAAGAAAAGCACATAAATTATCAATGGAATCTTTTAAACAAACACATCACCAGCATTGAGAAGCCTCTGTTAATCTCTTATTAATAGAAAGCCCAGAAACCAAATCTTAATCATTTATATGACTTAAAATCTAAAGAAAAATCTAGAAAAATAGGCTGAGACATAAAAGATGTGCTACAAAAGACACTCAAATATACATCCAAGTTACTTCTTTATGTATATATATCTAGAAAAAGTAATTGATAGAAGTTATCTCAGGTACTACACTTAAAATTTAAATAGGAAAATGGTTAAAAATGAGGAAATAGATGCTTTTTTAAAGTAATTATTTAATTTTAATATTAAATCACTAAAATTATGGCAGAAAACATATCCAAGCAAGATACGTCTTTTGCATAACAATGAACTATATAAAGAATATACTAAAAACAACCCAATTTTCCAGGTCAGTGTCAAGAACTAGTTGAAATCTTTGATGAGGGAATTCATTCTGAAAAATCAGGAAAAACTCTAAAGCACTCATTTATATATGTGTTCCTCTTAAAAAATTTAAGATTACGCTTTTCCTTTCATAACTATCAACATTTTAAAATCTGAAAAGGGAGTAGCAGTTTTTTCCTAAGTGCACAAATTGTTAAAAAATTACAGTTAAAAACCTGAATTCTCAAAAGGTTCATTTTAATTTCTTCACACATTCCAGAAATACTCCAGATGGTATTTCTAGTCAAAGCCATATTCAACAAAAACAGAATCTAATATTAACAGCATGGACCACTTTCTCCTGTAGTATAGAAACAGCAAAAACACCCACCCAAAGAAATCTAAACACATATTTCTTTAAAATTTTTGCCAAACATCTTAGTTTGCTTACAATTTCAACAACTTAAACATGTGTTTTTAAATATCCAGAAACACTTTCAGCCGGTCTTCTGTGATCAAGGATCAACACTAAACTCTCAATTTAAACCTCTCTCTCCCTCTCTCTCTCTCTCTCTCTCTCTCTCTCTCTCTCTCTCTCTGTGTGTGTGTGTGTGTGTGTGTGTGTGTGTGTGTCTGAGTGTCTGTGTGTAGAGGAAAGCTGTACCTGTGGATTTTACTCCACTAGTAATAACAGACTTTGGGGGGAACGGGTGCATAAATCTGAATGTCTGTTAAATCTCAATTGAAAACACTTGGGTTAAGTGATATTATTTGAATAATGGTGCAAATCATAAAAATTGAATTGTTAATTTACTACTTAGATAAAAAGTGTATATAATAGATCTATTTTAGATCTTTAAACTATATAAAATACATTAGTGTGAAACATAATATATTCCATATAAAATACATTAACTGTATTACATCATAATGTTCTTTAATAACAAGTATAAACATACTGGAGCAACTTTTCTAATCCCGATCTTGTGCCTTTTTATTTGATCTTTGCTTAGATCTAAGATTTTATTTGTCTTCTGGATCTTGCTTTTGATATTTGCTTTCTGTCTTGATTTCTAAATAAGAATTTATCTATACTTGACTGCAAGTGCTCTGACTTTACTATGAATACTCTACTTTTTCATGTTTCTAAATTAATTTTAAAGAAAAAAGTAAGAAAAAAATGTGAAGGAATTTAAGTCCAAATCGCACTAGCCAGATAGAAATCCAGAAATACTTGCAGATACAAAATCAACAGAAGACTTTGATCTGGAATGTTTCTTCAACATATATTTTAAAATATTGTATTAACATTTGATAGTTACTTCGCTACCTCAGTCTGCCAACAAAAAAGGGATTGGAAAATAGTAAAGTCTCAAATTCACCAATTCACCTTACAGTGTTTGAGAAGGTAGTAGTTTTATAATTCCAGACATATCTGAATCATACTGATCATTTGAATCCATCTAAATTGGGCTTTTGGATAAGATATGAGATCAAGACTATTATGGTCACCTTTATGGCTGACCTCCAACAGAAATGCCTCTATTGGTTATTCTGAATCTCTTAGAAGAGATTCAGTACTTTTGACAAGGCATTCGCATGGATTATGATATTTTTGCAATGTTTTGCCAGATGGTATTCAGCTAGGGATTGCAGTTCAATAAATAAAATATTTGTTTATGCTGTAATACTGAGTTCCATCTTGTCCCTGTGACATTTAATACCTGCATGAAACTACTGGTGATAAGAAACCTAGAAGTATGGAGTAAGATTCCAGCAATATATTTAAAATACATTGCTGTCCTTTGTCATCTAGTTCCAAATAACTAAGTCATTCTTTTAACTGTTGCTTACATTTGCATTTGCCCCAAAGTCTACACCCCTTTTTAAAGATCTAAAGTAGTTTAACTTCACATAAGGTCATGGAACTACCAGCTCACTATGCACTTAAGCAGGCTTTAAAGTTAACAGATTGACTTCTTTAAGACATCTTTATCTCAAAGACCCAATGCTCACAAGTAATAGAAATAATAGAGAAATAATACCTCTGTATTAATTTCCAACTATAAAACATGTTCCTTCAGTAATTGGATTTAACCTCTATTTTTCCCTGTCTTTCTTTCTTTCTTTCTTTCTTTTATTATTTTATTTTATTTATTATTTTATTTTATTTATTATTTTATTTATTATTTTATTTTATTTTATTTTATTTTATTTTTTTATTTTTTATACCGCCCTTCTCCAGCAGGATTCAGGGCGGTGAACAGCCAAGCATACATTTTGTAAGCATAGCATACAAAATTTAAAACAATTTAAAAAGATATTAAATAATTTCGGGCCATAATTTAAAAACACCCAAATAAAATCAATTACAAATTAAAACCGAAAGATGGGATCAGGCCAGCCCGGCTAGATGAAATAAGTGAGTTTTAAGGGCCCGACGAAAAGTCCGGAGGTCCAAGATCATGCGTATCTCTATGGGTAGGTCGTTCCAGAAGGCGGGTGCCACCACAGAAAAGGCTCTCCCCCTGGGGGTCGCCGGCTGATGTTGTCTGGCCGACGGCATCCTGAGGAGCCCCTCTCTGTGCGAGCGTACTGGCTGGTGGGAGGCTATTGGTGGCAGAAGGCGGTCTCGTAGATACCCAGGCTCTAAGCCATGGAGCACTTTAAAGATAGTCACCAACACCTTGAAGCATACCTGGAAGACCACCGGAAGCCAGTGCAGCTCGTGCAGGAGGGGTGTCACATGGGAGCGCCCCATTGCTCCCATAATCCCCAGCGCAGCCGCATTCTGGACCAGTTGGAGCCTCCGGGTGCACTTCAAGGGGAGCCCCATGTAGAGAGCATTGCAGTAGTCCAGGCGGGAAGTGACGAGTGCTTGAGTGACGGTGTGTAAGGAGTCCCAATCCAGAAAGGGATGCAACTGGCATATCAGGCGAACCTGATAAAAAGCCCCCCCTGGCCACAGCCGTCATATGCTCTTCTAAAGACAGCCGTGAATCCAGGAGGACACCCAAGTTGCAAGCCCTCTCCGTGGGGGCCAATGACTCGCCCCCAATAACCAGCGATGGCACCAGCTGGCTATATTGGGACGCCGGAAGCCACAGCCACTCGGTCTTGGAAGGGTTGAGTCGGAGCCTGTTTCTCCCCATCCAGACTCGCACGGCCTCCAGGCACCGGGACATCGTTCAAGGGCAACATTGGGATGCCCTGGGGTGGAGATGTACAGCTCAGTGTCATCAGCATACTGATGGAACTCCACCCCAAAGCCACGGATGATCTCACCTAGTGGCTTCACATAAATGTTGAACAGGAGGCGCGAGAGGACCGACCCGTGGCACCCCACAAACAAGGCGCCTCGGGGTTGACCGCTGCCCCCCTGCCAACAGATGAGGAATTTTCCTTTTCAAGTTTTCTGACGTGATGAACATTACCACATGTTGCATAGTACATTCCTTACATGTACCTTTTGAATCTCCTATAATTTAGCTTTACTGGATGGTAGTATACTGCAATACTATATTTTAGACTTATGAGAGAAAAGTTTCTACTTCTTCATACTGTACTAAATTTATAAAGTATGTGTTTTTTTCAGTTATTTTTTCTAATTTGACAATATACAAGTATAACCTAAAGAACAAATATTGGTTTTTTTAAATATTTAAGGTTTATATTGAACATTGTCTTAAAGCAATGTATAAAAATACTTATTTCAGAAATATAAATTTAAACATCTTTTAATTATATTTTAAAAGTCATGCATTTCAGATGGGTAGACATATAAATCTAAAAAATAAGAAACTTCATATTTATTTTACAGAGAGGGAAGAAGACCGGTAGCTAGCAACTGTACTTGTACAACGAACCTATCAACCCTTTGAGGTGGACCAGATCATGAAAAAGTCTCTATAGGACAACTAGAACTAGACTTTATTGAGACAGGCTGTAATAACAGAATCTTGTAAGCCTGTGCTTCTCCTGCTAACCTTTTTATACCCTAGTACTGAATCAATCTCTTCTCAATAGTATCTCCCTTCCCAGAACTTAAATCTTCTGGTTCTCTTTGTTTAGTTTATGAACATTTGCTTTAAGGTTGATTTCACTGAAATTATATATATGTGTGTGTGTGTAGGTCTTTGGTTATTCAGGTTTTCTCCCATGTAAAATTGGAAGTACTTTGGTGACGTTTCGTCGAAGTCTGTCATTAATACACCGAACACATAAAATAACAAGTCTTTTTAAGAAATAAACTTTTTTTCTGCAAAACAAGTTATATTTCTTTTAAAGTTCTTTGCTAAGGTCAGCAAGCATGTGAAAGTGGGGATCATCTTTCTAGATCTGAAGGATTCACTTCTTCTTACTAGATTCTGAAGAATTCACATACCAAAGACCCTTGAGCAAAATTAACCATCTCAGAAGTGCAGAGATTCTCTTATGTTTATCTGTCTGAATATCACTGGAGGATGACAGCCATGATAGCCTGAAACTACAGTTTCCAAAGCTTATGTCTTTAAAAATGTGTTAGTTGGAAAAGGTGCTGACAGATTCTTTCTGATAGTCTGAAGAACAGAAAACCATATGTGAGCAACAGGGTCTTTGAAAACCCACATTCTTAACATGTTAAAGGCAAGAAATAAGGCAGCCAATAATTTCGATGACAAAAATTGTTTAGAACAATAAGCAAAGTGTTCCAGAATACAGAATAACAGAGTTGGAAGGGTCTTCTAGTCCAGTCCCCTACTCAAGCAGGAGACCCTATACCATTCCAGACAAATGGCTATCCAATCTCTTCTTAAAAACCTCCAGTGATGCAGCATCACAACTTCTGGAAGCAAGCTGGTCAACTGATTAATAGTAGATCCAAATTAGAGCAACAGAAACTAAGATGAAATGCAAGTAAGGATAAAGACTTTCATACTAGAACAAAACATCTTAAATCTTCTACAATGGATAGTGTCTGATCTGGTGATGGCTAATCAGAAAAAAGATATTAGATTTGTGGTAGATGACTTGATGCAGATGACAATACAGCTACTATGTAAATGTTTTCTTTTGTAGATTATTGCAACATAAACCTATAATAAATTTTGTAACATCATAATTCCATGATTCAACATTAATATTGTTGACAGCTTTGGTTACACAACTTCCAAAATACAATGTCGAAATAGATCCAGAAAGGGCCAACTTAGTTTAGACCTAGGTGGAGCTACTATGCGAGGAAGAAAATAAATGGGCAAAAAAACAGGCTCAGTACATGGTATAGATACACAGAATGATGCATGTTGAAGAGAAATTGAATAATCCCCAGAAGGCAGTAAGCATGTTTGCTGATCAGGCGCTTGGGCACCTAAATTAAAATGTCTATTCTCTGAACTAAAAGATTTCTTAAAAATAATGTACCAAATTTATATTGCCCAACTTACAGATACTGTTTTAGAAGAAAAGACAGAAGTTTGAGGCACATTCCTTGCACAAGCATCTTCTGTAAGAAATGGGGATTAAAGTCTCTTTTGTCTGGATTAGTTAAAGAAGTCCTATTGACTGGTTCTGCTGGAATAGTGCTCCAAGGTAAACACACTGAATTAATTGGTGAAGCCCTATGAACCCACAACATGATTCTATGCCGATTTCAGAAAAGAGAAGGGAAAATTGAAATGCCCCAAAACACATTTTTTCTTCCTGTCACTCAGTAATCAAAACAGAATCCTGCTGCCAACACAGATATTTCAATCCTGGTTGATCTGTAATAATCTGATTTCAGGCAAAATGCAGGGCAGCTGAAACCTCACCATCTACTCTTCTGACCAGGAGCCTGCAGAATGACTGCAGTAGTAAGGCCCCCTTAGCTCCACAGAACTTATTCTTAAATCATAGGTGTGCACGTGTGTGAGAGAAAATCACAAGCTACCAAATGCACAGCTTAAATCTTACATCAGCCGTGAGTTCGCCGAGTGCCCATTCCCTCCTCTCTTCCACTGCGGTCGCAGTTCCCAGGCACCTAGATGAGCTAACGCTCCTCCTAGCATGCCAGCAACAGCCCTGAGCTATAAGGCACAACCGTGGGGCGGCATTATCAACCAGGGGGAGTGTTGCACTTGGAAGAGCAACGTTGAGAGATGCCTAGATCTACACCAACGATTTCGCCAGCCTAACCCTAACCCCACGACGACGCCCCCCCCACACACACAGCCCTGTCCCCAAACACACGGGAGTAGCAGCACCTTCCCCATCCGCCCAGCGCCACTCACCAGACGAAATCGTTGCTTTTGTCCTCGTAGGAATTCAGAAGGCCGTTGCAAAGCGGAGTCAGAAGCGGCCTCTTCCTGGTGCCGCTGCTGGCTGCGCCACTGCCGCTCCCGACTCGGGTCCCCGCCAGGCGAGAAAGGCCCCCGCTGCAGGAGGATCCGGACACGGCGGCCGCCACCAACACGGGTCGCGAGGGGACCGCTGAGGAGCCCGACGCCATCGCGGTGCCTGTCGCCATCGTGGTGCCCAAGCAGGCCGAAGTGGTGACCGAGGAGGTCGAGGAGGAGCCGGGAGGGCCCGCAGCACCCGGCCCGGCCGGAGGGTGCTGCGGCGATGGCCTGCTTCCGGACATTGCCGAGGCCTGTCTGGGCCAACTACGGCGGCGAAGACGGGCCTTTCCTCCTCGCGAATCAATGCATCGCTCCCACCTCCCGCAACACTAACCAACTGCGGGCAGAGAGGAACAATAAAGCGTCTACGGAGAAAATAAAAACTCTCACCGTCGTCCCGCCTCAGGAAGCCAGTACGTCGCATCTGATTGGTTTCCGGACTCACGCTGGCTCTCCACCTCCCATCCGAAAGCAAAAGGGGCGGGGAAATGCCTCCCGCTTGTCGAACTTTACCGACGCACATTCTGCACTCCGGAGGCGGGGCTAATAACGACGCATGCGCCGCTGAAGAACCTCCTCGCTCCCTCTATGGGGCTGCGCGAGGAATGGTGGTGTGTCGGGCGCTTGTGAGACGAACTGTCAGACCGGTTGAATCGGTGCTCTTGGGGGGTTCGCCTTCCTTGCACGACAACGACTTGCGAGGAAGGACGAGCTCTCATCAGCAAACTCCTCCATTTCCAAAGTTTGCGTGGCCTTCGGACACCTAGACGCCTAGAATTTCCAGTTATCCGTTGGGGTTGGCCTTTGTGCTGTGGTCGCGTTCAACTAAAATGCCTTTTGGGACTTCTAAACAAGTTGGCCTTTTCCCTTTGAAGATCAGTTAGATTTTTGCACATCCATTGGCAGAGTATTTGTCTCAACAAGAGACCGTTATTATCAAATTGGGCAGGTTTTACAGTTTCAGTGTGCAAGAGCCCTTGACACGATATTGTCTGCTAGTTATATGTTCGCCCTTTCTTGCAACAGCTGAAACCTTTGGTTGTAGCATTGCATTTGAGAACTGCCATTGAGGACTTGTATACTGCCCAAGTCAAAAAGGGCTGTGAAAATATTTACAGACTGCTTGCATCCTGGACATAAATTGTTTCAACTCCTACCCTCAAAATGACACTGTAGAGCACTGCACACCAGAACAACTAGACACAAGAACAGTTTTCCCCCCCATGCCATCACTCTGCTAAACAGATAATTCCCTCAACACTGTCAAACTAGTTACTAAGTCTGCATTACTGTTAATCTTCTCATCGTTCCTCTCACCCATCTCCTCCCATTTATGACTGTATGACTGTAACCTTGTTGCTGGTATCCTTAAGATTTATATTGACTTTCCTTATGACTATCATTAAGTGTTGTATCTTATGATTCTTGATGAATGTATCTTTTATGTACACCGAGAGCGTATGCACCAAGACAAATTCCTTGTGTGTCCAATCACACTTGGCCAATAAAGAATTCTATTCTATTCTATTCTATTCTCTATTCTTCCTCAACTGGGAGTGAGACATCTTTGCCTTCAGAGTCATCAGCTTCTTACAGCCAGATACCTTTGGAATAATTCAGAGGCTCTGCACGTGAATAATGAAGGTTTTTTTAGCGCTCGTATGAAAGGTATGTATATGTGCCTCTAAACTCAAATATAAAATTTGCAGGCCCTCCTGGTGGAGAATAACAGACCGACAAACTTTTCAGAAGGAAGGGTTCTCACGGTGTCAAAACTTGTTCAGTCTGTTGCATTGCTTCCTGAGGAGAAAGTCCATTTTTGGTCATTCTATGTCAAGTGGTCTGGGGGCTCCCCGCTCGACCATCATAGATTTCAATGAAATTTGGTGTGAACATGCACATACGTCCCCAAGGAACATTGATAAAGTGCTATGTGTGCCGATGCAATACTTGCGGAGATATACTCATTTGACCCCATACCCTAGTCTTCTACAGTATGATTCTGAAGTTCCAGCAACTTTGAGACCTAATATCTCCAGTAACATGTACAAAACCCGTCAACTTTACACTCAATTTGTGAACTATTGGAAAGCAGTAGGAGAATGAAATTTTATATTCAAAAACCTTGGGTTGCTAAATTATTATGCACAAGGTTTCATGATTCTCATACCTTTCCTTCGAGAGATACAAAAAGCCAAACTTTAACCTTTTTTTGAGCCGCAGTAATTTTAGGCCAACTTTGCTCCAAATTATCTAGATGGAGATCGCTCATGAGAATGTTTTTATTATTTTGTTTAATAGAGCACAAAAAGTTGTATAAGATGGCCAAGTTTTGTTTCAACAGAATATTGCCAGAGATATTATGTCTCAAAGTTGCTGGAACCTCAGAGTCATACTGTAGAAGGCTGCAGTATGGGGTCACCCAAATGAGTATATCTCCACAAGTATTGCATCAGCACACATAACCCTTTACCAATGTTCATTGGGGACTTGTGTGCATATTCACACCAAATTTCATCAAAATCCTTGATAATCAAGCAGGGCAGTTTTCTGAAATCAAACTACTTGACATGGAATGACCTTTTTGCCTTATTTAGTACCACCACATCTGCACAGTCCCTGCCAACAGCCACATTGTGGGGGAAATTTCCCTGGAGGATGTAACTCAGACCACATTGCAGGTAAGAAAGTGCTTTCTGAATGCAGCAAGGTCCCAGGAATTTCCAACTGCCTTCAATCATCATCTTCTGTTCTGCTCAAACTGTTACAATCAAAGAGATTTATTCCCCTTTCCTTTCCCAGTCAGCTGACACAGAGTGAATGCAAATTCCACATTTATTGAGATCAGCTTGACTTTGTTGATGGACAGCAGATCACACAGAAGTGACACCTTTTTATTTAAGAGACTGAGGTGGATACCCATTTTATAGGCAACATCTCTGGGAGGGTCAATGTATAACAATCTTCCTCCTCCTCCTCTCCTCCTCCTCCATATATATAAAAAAGGATCTATGTATGTATATATATATATCATCCAGCATAACTCTGGAACAGCTTGAGCAATTTCAACCATACTTGGTACACAGATGATTTACTGTGGAAAAAAATACTGTGGAGGTAAGACACCCCTAACACCCCTTGGGGGGGGTCTGTCTCTCTATGTGTGTTCTAGCATAACTCTGGAACACCTGGGCTGCTGAAATGAAAAGGAATTAATTATATCTATAGTGTCAAATCACAGTACTTTTGACAGTGATAGTGTGTATTTTGTATTCAAGTTCTATTAAGATACTGTTGTGCCTTAAAATGGCTTCTAATGTACATCACAATGGAGTTGCCATGGTAACGGCTTCACAGTACTCCCTCTGGTAAGGGGGATTGGTTCTTAAACAAACAAACAAACAATAAACCCCCTAGGCCCTCAGGTTCAAGCAAAGAGGGCAAGTTGTCGGGGGAGGTGCCTGCTAGTGCAGATAATTACCTTAAAGGGTGTTCCCTGTAGAATTTTTCCCAGGCTTTTGGCCAGGGCAATTAGGTCTCTAATTTTCACCACAGTGAGTGATGGCTTTTCCTGTCTAATACAGGATTGGGATAAATAAATACCTGGGCAACGCCGGGTTATCAGCTAGTAAAATATAAAAACCAACAAAATGATAGTAACCACAAACTGTATAGGGCAGCAGTTCTCAACCTGTGGGTCGCGACCCCTTTAGGGGTCGAACGGCCCTTTCACAGGGGTCGCCTAAGCCCTCTCTTGCCCCCCCCATGCCTTCACTCACCCTCACCCTCCGCCTCTGCTGGAGGGCTGTGTATCCCAGCATGCAATGCAGTGCCCCCACCCTTTAGCAAGGAGAGCGGAGAGAGGTTGAGTGTGTGCATGCGTGCGTGTGCACGCGCTACATACTAGAATAGACGCCTGGAGAGTAGTTGGAGGACCAGCCGCTCTGAATCCGACCGAACACTGGTGAGGTCTCATATTAAGACCTACCTAGTGGCGATAAAAGCGGCGAAATCTAGCTATTTTGCCGCTCTTATCGCGTCATCAGATAATCGCCCGGCCGCCCTGTTTAGGGTGACCTGCTCCCTCCTCCATCTGGAAGCGCGGGATGACCCCTTGCAGGGCCGAGCTGAGGAGTTTGTGCAGTATCTGTATGACAAAATCGCTCAGATTCGGGAAGGGCTGGCCTCTGACTGGGTATGTCCGGACGGGATGACTGAGGCAGGTCTTGAGAGTGTTATCTGGGGGGGGGGTTCGATCCTGTGGCTCCCGAGGACATGGACAGGGTCCTGGGACGGCTGAACGCGACCTCATGTTTATTGGACCCGTGTCCCTCCTGGTTGGTACTGGCTTCCCGGGAGGTGACACGAGGCTGGCTCCAGAAGATCGTTAACGCTTCTTTGAGTGAGGGGGTCCTGCCGGCTGCTTTGAAAGAAGCGGTTGTGAGGCCCCTCCTCAAGAAGCCCTCTCTGGATCCGGCTGTTTTGGCTAACTATCATCCAGTCTCCAACCTTCGCTTCGTTGTGAAGGTTGTTGAGAGTGTGGTGGCGCAACAGCTTCCCCGGTACCTGGATGAAGCTGTCTATCTAGACCCGCTCCAGTCCGGCTTCCGGCCTGGGCACAGCACGGAAACGGCATTGGTCGCGTTGGTGGATGATCTCTGGAGGGCTCGGGATAGGGGTTGCTCCTCTATCCTGGTCCTGTTAAACCTCTCAGCGGCTTTTGATACCATCGACCATGGTATCATGTTGCACCGGTTGGCGGGGTTGGGGGTAGGGGGCACCGTTCTGCGGTGGTTCTCCTCCTACCTCTCTGACCGGTCGCAATCTGTGTTGACGGGGGGGCAGAGGTCGACCCCGAGGCACCCTGCTTGTGGGGTGCCACAAGAGTCGGTCCTCTCGCCCCTTCTGTTCAACATTTATGTAAAGCCGCTGGGTGAGATCATCCGTGGCTTCGGGGTGGAGTTCCATCAGTACGCTGATGACACCCAGCTGTACATCTCCACCCCAGGCCATCCCAACGATGCCCTTGAAGTGATGTCCCAGTGCCTGGAGGCCGTGCGGGTCTGGATGGGGAGAAACAGGCTCCGACTCAACCCCTCCAAGACCGAGTGGCTGTGGCTTCCAGCGTCCCGATATAGCCAGCTGACGCCATCGCTGGCTATTGGGGGCGAATCACTTGCCCCCACGGAGAGGGCTCGTAACTTGGGCGTCCTCCTGGACGCACGGCTGTCTTTAGAAGACCATTTGACGGCCGTGGCCAGGGGGGCTTTTTATCAGGTTCGCCTGATACGCCAGTTGCGTCCCTTTCTAGATCGGGATTCTCTACGCACAATCACTCAGGCCCTAGTCACTTCCCGCCTGGACTACTGCAATGCTCTCTACATGGGGCTCCCCCTGGGGTGCACCCGGAGGCTCCAGCTGGTCCAGAATGCGGCCGCGCGGGG